GTTCTGCAATGGCCAAGTCATATCATCTGACCTGAATCCAACTGAGCATGCGTTTCTCTTGCTGAAGCCAAAACTGAGGGCAAAACACCCAAAACACAAGCAGGAAGTGCAGACGGCTGCAGTAAAGGGCTGGCAGAGCATCACCAGGGAAGAAACCCAGCATCTGGTGATGCCTATGTGTCCAACACTTCAGGCAGTCATTGACTGTAAAGGATTTGCAACCAAGTATTAAAACTGACTGTTTAATTGATGATTATGTTAGTTTGTCCAAATACTTATGAGCCCTTAAAGTTGGGGGACTGTGTGAAGAAATGGTTGTCATTCCTACACGGTTCATATTACATTTTTGAAAAAAGCCTTAAATGAAAGCTGAGAGTCTGCACTTTAAGCAGGTATTCATTGTTTCATTTAAAACCCATTGTGGTGGTGTACAGAGCCAAAATGACGACAACTGTATCATTGTCCAAATAATTATGGACCTGACTGTATGGCAGATTAATTGAAAATGATTTCACAAAATATTGACACAATGAGATTTTTGATAAGTATTCATCAGCAAGGTGGCCATAATGACTAAGTGGGTAAAGTCAAATAAGAAAAGCAGCTAGAACAGTCTGGTAAGTTGGGAAATCTACAGCAGTTTACTGTTATGCAGCCTTTAAATCCAGAAAAAGACAACACTTGTGATATTGTAATTTACAAAATATAAGATTATGTCTTGTCTTATACCAAGATATACCACGATATCTGTGTAACAGTGATCTATTGCCCAGCCCTAAGTGGGTTTTCAACCCTCACAGTTTCAATAAAATAAGAAGCTATTGATAGGAAAAGAACAGAGAAAAATTAGGCCTTTATCTCACAGCTTTTCTAATAACAAAACAATTAATCAGAACTGGCTATTTCCTGCTTGTCTCAGTTTTTATTATTATTTATTGAACCTTTAATTAACCAGAAAAACCCCTTGAGATTAAAAATCTCCTTTTCAAGAGTGTCCTCACCAAGACAGGCAGCAATGTAAGTTACAGACAGACAACATGGAACAAAAATACAGAATAAAAATGTACAGCTCTAAAACAAGCAATGTAAAACACAGAATAAGAACACTACAAGGAAAAGCCAAAAAGTATGTTAATATATACTAGAAATTCAGCATAAAACTGTAATGTGTAATGCTGTAATACACTTGAGTTTTGGATGGTTGGTCAAATCTAGTAAGCAATAAGAAGACGTCACTTTGAAATCTAGAAAATCATGAAGGTTGTTTTTTCTGTCAGTTAATAGAGCTAACCAGTTATAAATGAATAAAACAAAAAAATTAAGATATTAACTGACCATGAAAATCATCGTTAGCTAAAGCCCTACATATTTCAGGACCTCGCCAACCTGTCTTAACACCAGACTCCAGTCATGTGGTGTCTGTAACGAAATTTACATTGGTTCCAACCTGAATGGACAGATTTAGGGAGTAGCAGTAAAGTCTTTTAAAGTATTGTCTACATATTGTGGAACTTTACATTATTTCTCTATGCCAATGTACTTGTAGTTTATTTTTTGTGTGAGAGACATTTGTTACAGAGCTGCTGAATCTCTGTGTAGCAAATCCACACTAATGTAATTGTAATCTAGTTCTCTGTAATCTGATGTAATTTATTCTATTAACAGGCCTGAAAATGCATCCAACATGTCCATTCACATACACTGGGCATGTGCATGCTAATGAAAACAGGAAGCAGATTGTCTACTCTGCATTTGGTTGCTTAATTACAGAAAATACTATGGAGATGGCGAAAAGTAAAACCAGAGATTGCTTTGCTTGGACTGATGATGAGGTGGAAGTGTTACTGAAAGTGACACAAGCCGGTCAAGGTGGTGGTAAACAGATTGGGAGTCGATGCAAAGCAAATAGGGTTACATATCAGAGTGGTTTTGGGAGTATTATTATTCATTGCTGGAGGAAGCCATGGCTATAGGAAAAGAGTACCCACACAACTAGGATAAAATCACAAAAGGTGTGCAGGCCTGGCTATAATGTTTTGGCTTGATACTCCGTGACTGATTGGACCCAATCGGGAAGTAAACGCGAATATGTGTGTCATTGTTTTTAAAGTCATCATTTTTACGATTAAAACGAAACTTGGAGTTTTCAAAAGTCTTAGTTGTAGTGGTTTCAAAATGACAGACTAGCGTGGACGTCAGGCATAAACATAGCAATAGTTGTGCATTTTAAAACAAGTGTGGATGTAGCCTAAATGTCCCTTTGAGACACTTCAGTTAACAAATGACTCATTCGATGATTGTAAAGATCTCTTCAACCATTTCTCTAAACCATTCGGCCTAATCACTTGCAAATCCTTCCAGTCAAGTGGCTCATTAAAAGAAATCACAGATGTTAAGCTGAGTGGCGTAAACACCCTTTGTGGTCCTTTCTTCTTAAACTGCTGTTCAACATGCTACAGTGGGCAAACAACCAATTCATGTGCAGCCTTGTTTCATTTTGCGAATTCCTTTCGTCAGCATGGGTCATTGACTCCTTCATTTCTCACCCATTCACTGACCCAGAAGGGCCTGTAAGTCTACAGCGCCTGCATGTTGACCCCTTGCTCTCATTGCCCTCCCTCCTCCTGAGGAACCCCCCACCCCCCACCCACCCACCGCCTGCTCATCTCGCCCTCCAGCTGGTTTCCTCCACCGTCCAGAAGCCGCAGAGCGCTCCTGGCCTTAGCAGGGCGGCTAATCTAGATGGCGGGAGGCCTCCCTCCTGCTAGCGTACACAAGAGAGGGCAGCCCTAATTGCTTATGTCGTAAAGCTCCCTGACCCAGATAAGCCTCCACTCCCCAAAGCTGTCGATATAACCCCACTTTACCTCACCAAACCTGCCTCGCCTGATCCATTCAAGCCAGCCCCCCCTCTACATTTCCGCACCTTCTGCCACGTTATTAACACCCAGGGCAGGGGGAGATGGGGAGAAGAAAATGAACACCACGGGTAGACAAAACATCTTGATGGTCGAATACCAACAGCTTATTTAAAGAGTTGTGTGCTGCAGGAACAGAGCTACTTAAAGGGGTATTTTTAATTTATGTATTTTTACAGGAACATTATCAGAAAAATTCATCTCGAAGAAGAGTGGAAAAAACTTCAATAACAACATGAGACAAAGTCTTTTTAGTTGGATTAATAATCTTCCAGAATATATCTAAAAATTTTGTTCAGGATTTGCTCATAACTCGATTTAAGTAGAGCACAACCTTGAGGACGAAGGCGTGATTCGTCGGCCAGAAAGCAAAAGTGCCAGATTTTAACAAATGACACACGACGACTCGATCAGGTGGTTGCTGATCAGTTGTACCCAATGAAAGCCAATCTAAAGTCATGGAGTTGCGTGCAGCTAGCTCTCGCGTGCCTGGCTCATTATTGAGCCCGGTAATGCAGGCTTAGCCACAAAATGCCAGAGTGCCTCGGACAGTTGTCAAGTGCCGAATGTCACACGTGCTCTACTTTGCCAACAGATGGCCGGTTCACTGATCAACACTTTGGCAACTTTAACGCTACAAAAACACAGATATTGATGGTTTTAGTTTGCTGCGTCAACTTTCTAAAACTTTTGTCACGCAGAGATATTTTTAATAGGATATAATGAAAAATAGTTCTTCAGACATACTGATCGGTTATTCAGGTGGTTTAACTGATTGGTCGCCACTACAGAAATGATTGATATCAAACTGGAGCCTGATTGAGAACTCCTGAAAGTTCACGTTAAAGCAGATCTTAATTACTAAATAGGAGCTTTTAATTGGATGCTGGCCCGCCTCACCCTGTAATCACCCACCACATGCTCCTGGTGCAGGGATGCCTTTAAACCCTCATCTTAAGTCAAGTTACACCACAGGTTAATGTCAACTGTGTCAAGTGCTTGGTGAACGATACTCCCACTGATATCTTGGAGTTTTTCTCGCTGTGAATGACCCACCACGTCAGAACTACAAATTCCCACATTCAAACACAATTTAAGCTCAAATTTTCTGTATTATGTTTGTTAGGAACATGTTTTTATCTACATCAGGCTCTGTCGTTCTTGGCCTGTCCTGTCCTCAGCTTATTCGTCTCCTATTTAAGTGATACTTCCAGAAACACTGTTGATTGGATTTGTGCAATTCCAAGTGTTCAAAGAGCTCTCTGATGACGGAGGATGTTGTTTAGTAGCTGTTAGGGATGCACCCATTGTGAAATTTTGGGCTGATAGCAATATTTAAAATAACAATTTGGCCAATGGTCGATACCATTTTTTTTGTTTGTTTGTTTAGTGCCAGGGAAAACAAAGAAATCTTCATCATAAAAAATATATTAACTGTTTTAAAGTCATTCAGTTTTCATTACTCTACCTCTGATGAGCACAAAGTCAATCATACACATTCATGAAACAACCGTTACTATAACCTTCTTTTACATTTATATATCATAATTCCCTCTCTTACGTTTCATATTGCTGTGAAAACACCAACAAATTTCTCCTTCAAACACCTGTATTTATTCAAGTTTCTTGCCAAAAACTAAATTTCTACATTACATTTGAACACATATGAGAACGTATAATTTACCTTTGCCTAATAGAGCTTGAATGCATCATAACGTATCTCAGTGCAACCTCCGTCAGAAGTTAGTTGTGGCCGCTAACAGCTCACGTTAACTAGCTCACTTCCTGCCGATGTCAAGATGGATAAGTTATTCACAATGTAGCATTATTAGGGAAACAACAGGGTGCGTTCTCGGAGGCACTGATAGGAGTTTACTGCACTTTTTTGCCTGTGCAAAATTGATGCGACACAACAGAAAAACATCGGCCACTGCCAACAGTGAATGTCATTTTATTTGCCAGTAGGCCTGTGGCAGTCAACAAAGCCGAGTATTGGTCGATACCGATGTGCGGCCGATGAGTCACTGTCAGAACAGTCATCTTGTATAGTAATTAAAAATACAAACAAGTGACAGTTTTGGGTCAAATAAAAGTCAGCCAATAGGTTTAATAGAAACTCCACCAATACAAACCAGGCATTATATTTTCTGATCACAAAAAGAAAAAATAAATACAAAAAAAAACAAAAACATTTTCAAGTAAGGAAAAGACACGTGAAACTAAAACACTACACCACGTCATCGCACAAGATAATTTGTTGAAACTGATCTCACTCCAAAAATACCAAATAAAAATAGTTTTATAGTGTTTCTAAAAAAAAAAAAAAAAAAAGAAAATAGTTTAATACCAAACATGATTTTCCGCACCAAACACAATTTCGTGCTACAGTTTTCCTGCTTGGGGTCATTTAAAAAAAATGGTTCAACGAATTCCAGTCAAAGGAAAACATTTAACAATAAATATATCATAAACACAAACATATTTAAATCTCTCAAAATCAACAATTACATATCAACTGAACACTTAAAAGTAACCAAATATTTTTTGTATATGCGTACTTTGCAGTACTGCTTATATGAGAAGAGTGGTAGCAAGGTTTAATACTGTATGTGCTGTATGTACCAGGAGGTTACAGAATAATATGTTTAAGATCAATAATTTGCTATCTTCTAGTGGTGTTGAGATAAACATGTCCACAGAAATCCCTTTGACAACACTGCTTTTGATTGTGCAGTATTTTTACTCATGCTACATTTCTACCTGTGGCCCACTGGCCCCATCATAAACTCAGGAGAAACCTCCCAACTCTAGATAATCTAGCTGACTACCAGCGTCAGATCCTCTGTGTTATAATACAGTAGTTCTCCACAGTGTTGGTGAAATCATAGTGTCGTATAATGTTCTAGGTAAAGTTTCCCAGTGCTTCATTGTCCTCATAACGTGTGAGTAATCTCTTCAGTCTGTAGCACTCACAGGAGACTGAGAACGTATGAAATGTGCTGACAGTTGTGGCGCTGAAAATTTTTATACCCCTGGGCGCCAAACAACACAGGCGTTGTGTAATCCATGTGTTCTGCTGTAGTGTCTCCAACACTCACTTCAGGCTAAAATAAACTGCAACACGGCACTCAATCAAGTGCCTGTTGCCATCTGGTGGTCGGACCACAGCATTGATTGGCACAGCATTTAAAAGACACAAGCATTTAGTATAAAGAGATACATTTATGAAAAACTGGGTTTGTAGTCAGCCTGATAATTAGACTGAACCGCCATTTTGTTTTGCACCATAATTATTATTGAACAGCTGCAAATATTTGACAAAAATGTCTGGAAACAGGCCAGATATTTGTGGACACCCTGCCAGAATTTAAAGTCCAACTGAAATTGATTTTTCCCCCCCTGCTACAGCACACATACCATACATATCTGCTCTATGAACTGTGTGTCTTGTTTGCTCCTTTGAGAAATAAATCAGAAACTAAAAAGGGAGAATTATACTCTTTCTCCACCAAAATTAGCACAATTATGCCGTTTGATTGAATGTGGGAAAACCTGCAATAAATAGGCAATATTTATCCCTATCCATTTGCATTTCTGTTTATTTTAATGGCGTGTCATGTTTAAGGCTGCAACTAACGATTATTTTCATTGTTGAGTAATCTCTCACTTATTTTCTGGATTAACCAACTGTGCATTTGGTTGACAAAATGACAGAAAATGGTTAAAAATATTGATCTGTCTTTCCCAAAGTGACGCCCTCAAATGTCTTGGTTTTCCACAACATAAAGATATTCAGTTTACTATCACAGAGGGGTAAGGAAACCAAAAAATATTCACATTTAAGAGGCCGTAATCAGAGAATTTTTACTTTTTTTCTCAAAAATTGATCAAACCGATAATTGGATTACGAAATTGGTTGGCAGTTCATTTAATAGTTGACAACTAATTGAATAATCGATTAATCATTGTAGTTGTAGTCACGTTCGATGTCACAAACGTGCCGTAAACAAGTTTAGTAAAGAGTATAAAGTCGCATGGAGGCCAGTGACTATGTTACGGTATGTGACTTTGATTTTGTCGTAGTCATGCTCGCTGCTGACTAATTTGCAACGATGTTCGAGCACTGCTTGGACAGAGATGGACAGAATTTGTGGCAGCATGTCATTGCACCAGAAAAGGGGTGAAAATTAGTGTTTCCACCCAGGTGTCATATTCCCATCAATTTCCACATGCTGACTGTAACCTTTCCCACTTAAGTCAGATGTTAGTGGGTGTTAGTGGGATTATGTGTCCAGTTGAAAAAATCTTGTTGGCATACAGGCAGCCATATTGTGTCATTTCAAATCATATTTGCATTAAGCTGTAACACAGTTCTATCTTTGGGATAGAAAGACACTCTTCCTTTTCATAATAAAAAAGGAATAACTATAAATTTGACATTACTTCTGACTGCATAAAGAGATGACTGTGATTTCAGTTGGACTTTTTGGAACAAGGCGATCTTTGATCAGCTGTCATGAAATGCAGGACCTTTTACTTCATGTTACAGTACTGTGATATTAGGACTTCTGTTTCTTAGGATATCTCTCTGTTGTGTTTGTGTTTTACAATAGAAAATGTACCTCATATGCTACAATATGAACATTGATCGAATGGCATCTAGATTTTAGATTTGCATTGGATTTTAGAAAAAGCTGCTGGCCAGTTTTCCAGTCTTGAATGATCCATTTCTTACTTTCAGTCCCAACTAGCAGGACGCTCTCACGCTCACTGTGCCGCCAATACAAGAAATCAAAAAAAAAGCTGGGATGTTTTGGGCAGAGAGAGCCTGACTCAAAGCTAAATCTGGTTAAAATAAGAGAAATGTACATCCGTCTTTTCAGCAGGAGAGTGATTTCATTAGAGACAGATAGAGGCGGGATAGGCGGGATGTACGGGCCTCATCTTGTTTCAGCACCGTCGGCTGGAGGATGGGTATTTGGTTTTCAGGCCCTCTTTGAAGTTGCGAAACAGAACCCGATTGCGTTTGTTCTCCTCGTCCTTCCTGGCATGGAACTCCCCCTGGATCTTGAAGCCGCGGTGCACCACGAAGGCTGAGCTCAGCACAGAGAACCTGTATCCGGCCACATGGAGCTCGCAGGCCTGGAGGGAGAGGGGAAAGACAAGACAGAGTGAGAAGGCAGACGTGGAAGTGGGATGTGATGAGACAAGACAGATTGTGTAGAGCGCAGAGGAGATGAGAAGGAGGGTGGCGGCAGGAGGGACAGAGGGGAAACGAGGAGGAAGAGATGAAATATGTTAAAGGAATATGGCAAGAGGAACATGAGTAAAAGAAAGGTCAAAGAGACGTGATGATTAAGGTACAACTACAGTATGGACAGCATCCATCATGGGACGAGGTAAAGTCCAGTTCAGACCAAAAATATGCAACGTGACGAGTCGAAACCTGCAGCTACTTACAATGTGCCGGTGTGCAACGATATGAAACCTGCCACTTTACACCATTATGACTAGATGGGGAGTTTTTCCTTATCCGCTGCGAGGATTCTAAGGACAGAGGGATGTCGTATGCTGTAAAGCCCTGTGAGGCAAATTGTGATTTGTGATGTTGGGCTTTATAAATAAAATTGATTGATTGATTGATTGAATTGATAGATGAGATGGTGTATCATCTCCATAGCAAAGACTCTCTGCACTTCCCATTCTAATTTTCGGCTTTTCAGGTACAAGTAACGACTGTTTGTTCAAGTATGTGTGTTTGACATGCCCGCTGCAGGAGCAGCGACCCACTGTCCAACACGACACTGTGACACAGAGACCAACATACGTGTCACAAGTCGAGGGGATGTGAATGAAACAGACTTCGGGGTGGAGGGCTGCTGTCAGAAAATGCGATAAACACGGCATCTGCTGACAAGTGACTAAAAGCGCTACAACCTGGATACCAACTGCGTTCTCAAACCCGCCACTGGCGACACCATCAGACAGCTTGAGTTGAGCTGAGATGGGCCAGTTCACACTGCTGCAACTTTTTCCTGCAGTGTTCTAAAATGGTTTAGTCTCTTCGCGAACTAGGCTTAAGAGGTGTCAGAGAGAGGCGGTGAGGGGAGAGGAGATCAACCAGGGTGTGGAGAAGTTGCCACAGTAGGGACGGAGGACTTAGGAAGTAGATAAAGAGAAGGCAAGGAGAAACCACAGCTGAAACAATAATTCCATTAATTAATTTGTTGATCACCATTGAATTAATTTGCAGCAATTTTGATTGTTGACTAAAGGGGCATTCCACTGATTCAGTAATGTTCTTCCATAAAGTTGGGGGACCTGTGAGAGGTCAAAACAAAGCAGCAGGAGCAGAAATATCCGGACTGTTAGCCCTTAGTGTGGGTCAAACCCTGAAAACATTGGATCTTATGCTTCCCCTAATCCAGCTCAGTAGTATTCTTCAATACTACTAATGCTTGTAAAATATCCATAGCCCCTTTTACACTTTCTGTTCTGTATAAAAGATACGATTGTGGAATCAGGGGACAGAGTTGTCTCAACAGAGGTAGCAACAGTGCCGACTCAGCATCAGTGTTAAAGGGACAGTCGGCAGGATGGGACCATGGGCGGGACAAATGTGATGTTTTCACAATGTGTTATGCGTTCAACCCACTGTGGGAGATTTTAAAAGCAGCTAGAAGCAGTTAGCAGCTAACTCAAAGCAGAAGAACAGTAGCTGAAAGTTTCCACAAATTGAGAAAACAATGAGGTCTGGGACTCATTACCATTCGAGGCCGAGGACGAGATCAGCCTCCATATAACAGAGACAGTAAATGATTGTTATGCCATTGTTATTGCTTATAAAGTGCTGCTGATACATAGGTTGTTTGCTACACTACAGACCGATGCTGTTGTGTTAAACGTCACACTCATCATGCCAGCATGCTGTCTAAAATCACACATGATGCAACTGTTGCTATGTTCCATGTAACAAAGTAAAGGCGGTGTAAAGCAGCAGCCCTATAATGCGATCTGTGTAAAAAGGGCTCTTTTGCACTCCACACCCCCATTTTGTAACACCGGCTTTCTGTCAAATTATGCCCACCATGACCCTGATGATATGATTAGGGTTATTTTCCCAGAAGCCCCCTTCAGAGCCACAGAGCCATTACATCACAGGTTTTACAGGCCCAGTAGCACTCCATGTGCCAAGTAAAGTGGCCTCCATGTGCTCCCTTAATCCTGTCATTTTACAGCAGGAAAAAAGCTAATTTCACAGGTTGCAGCCTTTCAAGTGTGAATATGTGTTTGTTTTCTTAGTCTTCAGTGATAATAAACTAAATATGTTCGGATTTGGGACAGTTGGTTGGGAAAAAACAGTAATACAGAGGAGGAAAAAGCCTGTGAGTCAAGAAAATGTGTGCTGAGAAGTAAATAGTGATTCAGCTTGAGACTTTCGTCAAAGTGTATTTATATGCAAAAAAAATCCTGCAGTGGATTGCATCAGGATGGTGCTGCTGTGTGCCAAGTACAGTGTTTCCCCCAGAATGAGAATACACTCAACTGCATATAACTTTTAGTCAGAGGAAGAGACTGGATGAACAAGGTTGGTAAAATTATATATCAAACCAGGGTTTCCAAAGAGTGAACTATCACACATAAATGTTGAAGTTGTACAAACCTGGCTGATGCGATTGAAGCCATACTGCCTGAAGTTCTCATCATAGAGGGGCACAGTGTGGGGCCCGATGTAGAAAGGCTCCCAGGGGTCCACCCAGGTGAGCGTGTAGGCAACCTCCAGGGTGCCCGTCCCTCTAACGTGGCTGTTAACCCACTGAGAGTAGTTGGTCGGGGCTTGACAGCGAGGACACAGCTCTTCATAAAATGGCCTGACCTCGCCGACCTGATAGAGCTGAACCAACTCTGCCTTGCTGGCGGGCATCTTCCGGGCGTGGCGGATCTCGAAGGCAGGCAACACAAACACCTCATCGTTCATTGGCTCTCGTCTCGTGATCATGGCCAGGAACTGCTGGTGCAGGTCAGCGCTTGGCATCATGTCGACGTCAATGACCAGGATGTAGGAGGACTCTGTGCCACTTCGGGCGACGTTGCGAAGAAGGTTGTTGGGGTAGGAGACGTTCCCACTGATGGCGTAGTTCTTGTATTTATCTCTGTGGGTCTCCAGTCTGGAGAACACAGCGGCACAGTCCTCAAGCCCTGCAAAGTGCTCACGGTCCTGCTCAGGGAAACTGGCCATCTCTCCAGAGAGGCAGACCAGGTGGAAGTCCACCAGAGCTTGAATCTGAGGGCAGAAGAAGCTGAGAGCGTAGACCAGAGCCGTGGCAAACTTGACATCTTGCCCATGTGCGAATATGGCCACAGAGAGAGGGTTTTGCCACCTCTCCAGGAGAGACTCCAGGTGATGCAGGTTGTTGATGGTTGTGTGTGTGGCTAAAGCCAGGACATTGGAGCTGGGGTCGGACCCTGGCTTCTGGTTTGTGGTGAAATCACTTTTGATCAAGTTCTTGTACACCCGGTACTGCCCACTGTTGTCAAAGATCCCACCAGTGGACAGCGAGTATCTCAGACGCTCTTTCCGCGTGTTTTTCTCGGGGTGCCCATTCTTCTTGCCCCCGGAGCCTCCAAACAGCTCGGAGTATCTGTAGCGCTGCTGCTTACCGTGAAACTTGGACAGGAAGGACAGGTATATGAGCTGCAGGAGCGCCACTATCAGCAGAGCACTCAGCACCACTTTGAAGACGGAGCATTTCTTGGAGAGATGCATCCCAGAGAGACTGCAAAGCGGCCACTTAGTGAACACAAAGCAGGTCCAAACACAGGAGCAGGCTGCTGTTTCAACGAGGGCTGGCTATTTCTGTCCCAGCTAACGTTAACGTTACACACATTGCTACCACAATGCTAACACTGCAGCCGACTGGGCTGTGACGAGTACTTTCATATTATGCTGGTTAGTGGCATAACTGCGCCATATTTTCACACGGCTGTCGACAGCGCGAGCAAAAAGACGGATCTAATCCAGTTGCCGTGATCGCCATCAAAAAGAAACCCGGTTGTTACCATTCTGCTGCTGCTGCTACGACAGCGGCGCATGTAGATACGTAATAACCGTAATGTCCGGAGTAAAGGCGCCACCGAATTTGGTGCTGTAGCTAAAGCTGTTAGCTAAACTGATGCTAACGGTCACACGTGAGGATAAAAGGCTACTGCCACTGTTTTGTCGGGTTATGTAACAAAGCGAGGCTGTTAAAATCAAATAAAATGATTGTATAATATGTCAAATGATCTATAAGAGAGTATATGGTACCCTATTGTAGATCAGAGGACGAGGTGGCCGAGTGGTTAAGGCGATGGACTGCTAATCCATTGTGCTCTGCACGCGTGGGTTCGAATCCCATCCTCGTCGCAAAATAATTTTGACTTTATTTTCAATTGTACATCATGTCTAGTGTTTCATCTACTTTATTTTTAATTGTATATCATGTCTAGTGTGTTTATTTATTTGGATGCCCATCAGTCACTACCAAGGTGGCAGCCACTGTTCCTGAGGTTCATACAAGCAAACATTACATCATAGAGTAAAACAAATGTAAAATTAAAAAGTCAAGGCAAAAAGGAACAAAACACAACCAAACACAATAAGACTACAAAACAAAAATGAAAAAATAAAACAAAATGAATAGATTAACCACAAAATAGTCAAAAAATGTCATGAGAATTATAATAGTAAGGATTTTACAGCTCAAACTATTTAACTATGTACCTGTTTAACATGTGTAGCCATATTTTGCGGAATAATTACATGCGAGTGGACCATTGGACTCTTCACTGTATAAATAAATATGACAAAGTATTAGCATTCACTTCTATTCATAAAAATAAGCAAAAAAATAAAAAAATAAAAATAATGGCCAGATTTGCTGATTTGCATTTTTAGAGAGATATTTTTCCGCATATGATGTTATTTATTTGTTTATCTTTTTGTGAATCCTGTTGCTACATTGGGTATAATGTTGATTTGTCTATGTACCATGGTGTATGTTGTATTTCTGTGGCTGCAGTATGGGTGTAGGCCAAGACAAATTTTCCACTCTGTGGGACAATAAAGTTAATCTTGATCTTGATTTTAAAAAAAAGATGGGCATCCCAAAATGGTCTTAAAATTGTGTAAAAATTTCCGTAAAACAACAAAATAACAACACTGTAAATCACTGCTATGTTTAAGTCACACACCCTTGAATGCAAATATTATTTACACACATACTCGCATCATGGGGAACAGAGTTAAGTAGAGGGGCTGCTTTGCACGAATGATTAATAGCTTTTGGGGTACAAAAGGTAGCAAAATGCCGTGCTCAGGCTGCACTTACTACAGTGTATCTTGATAACTAACAAAACTACATTTGGTTATTTTATGCAGTGTCTATCTTTAAGTTGAATTTTTCAAAATCCTTGTCATCCAAAACCCATGCCAAAAATAGAGGTAAGATTCTTTAAAAAAAATCCATGCCTGATTCCTCAGAAAACCATGAATGTAAATCATGCCTAATTTAAATAATGCAAGCAAGGGCTGTGGTAGTATGAACACATTTTAAACCTTAATTTGCAAGGACTACTGCTTGAATGGGTTTATCCTCCTGAGAAGGCCGTGGCGTACAGATACAAGGATTTATGACACGACACAAAAAAGCACAATTGTGACATTCTTTAATTCATGACCATTAACAAAAACATTGTTGTCTTGACGACTACATGAACAGTGCAGACAGCACACGTCAGGTCCCAGTCGGCATTTCCTCAGTTTTCAGAGTTACAAAATTAATTTGACCAAGCTCATGTGTAACAGATCAAACAGAATATGACGACTTTTATTCTCAATGACGGGACTTTATTATAGAGTTTATGGTGGTAGCGCTTCATTGGCCGCTGAACAATAATAGCTGACCTGACATGAAACAAACCAGCAGCCGCTCTGAGCATGGCTCACATGTGGAGACAGTAATATGAGTCGTGGATGAAATGTTTAATAGAGGGAGAGTGAATAAAGCTGATAGATTAGATATATAGTGACATGTTTACAGTATAACCTCTTGTTCATGCTCATAATACGATATCAAAATGCCTTCCAGGACCTGTGCTGCCTTGGCAAGGGTGACCTTTTGCAAAGCTTAACCTATGTTAGGGCCCAATGAAATCAGTTTTTATTTTTCCTCATTTTAAAGTTGTTAGTCCAAAATCTTAAGTTTATAAAATGCAAAAGTGTGTCCTGTGATCTTCTCTATATTTACTAACTGTGTGGGAAAAATGGGAGTAAATGGGAGTAAGACTAAAACAAGTACTCAGGATGTAGTTGTTTAATTTATGCCACAATATTTCAGAAATAAAAAAAGAGTCAGCATCACTGAAAGGCAGATGTAAAACAAACAGCCTTATTTTTTTACACGCACTAGCACCCACATATGTAAGCAGAACACTACGTATAGTATAGAGTTTGCGTCTGTTGCAAAGTATGTCACTACCAAGTGCAGCATGTTAAGCAGAAATTTAACCCAGCTCCTAAACCAAATTCAACATATGAAAAAGCTCAATTTTTGGAACCTAGATTTTGTGACTCCAACCATATTTTCAGTACTGTAGAAATCATAAGGCCCTACGGTCGCCCCCCCCATTAGTACAAACTATGACACTAAAACGCCCGCTCCGCTTTTAGACCCGCCTCCTTCGCTGTCCCTGGAAGATGCTGCCGACTGGCCTTGTGTGTCTCCTTCTCCCTCTCCCACCAACCGGATGTTGTAGCGTTCCCTGTACTCTGTGAGCTCCCGTCCTTTCGTCTGCATCTGTGTGTTGATGGACTCGATTATTTTGGAGATCTGTGGAGAGAAAAGGGAAACAGTGAGACATTTTCTACTAAATGAAACTTTAGATTCGTGCCTGAAATTGTCGTCTGACTTGGGATTACATGACTACATGTAGGCAGCTATTGTAAAAAAAAGTGTTGACGTTTCAAGTATCAAATTTAAATTGAAATAGCCTCAGTTACCTTTACAGTACGACTCTAACAATTAACCACTATGGCACTTTGTATTTGTTGATCTGTTTCAAGGTTTTTTAAAACATCCATCACCTGTTCTTTGTTGCTTTCCAAGGCCGGTAGAACTTCTTTTACAGTCCTCTCCACCAACACTCCTCCGACTAGACGAAAGCATTTCCTGGAAGGATCCACTTCCTTCAGGGTTTCGATTACTAGGCTGGATGGAGGAAAAAAAGTGTCGTCAAAAACATAAAGCAGCGCCTAAAAGATCCAATTAGCATGTTAGCTTTCTGGTCTGGTATCTGTACCCAAACTTAAAGTTATGACACTTATTTGTGGCCATGGACATAATTACATTGTTTGGAGTTAACAAGATATCAAAGCTAACGCACACTCAGCAATATCAGAACTATGGTGGCTGGTTTAGCAGCAAATTGTTATAAGAAATTTCTTTCTTGATCAAATATAAAATGAGTAGACGGTGAATTAGAAAGGCTGCAGAGGCCGAACATCTGCTGCCAACCTGTGCTCGTTGATCTCCATCTCCAGCTCTGCAGATTTAGACGCCATGCTGCGCTGCTCCTGACGCATCCTCTGAAATGTTGCCACCACCTGTCACACAAAAACACACCTTCAGCAACAATAATCTTAGTTTTTCTCAGTGCTGTAGTGAAATAATTTCAGTTGTGAATGTCACGATTTACTACTTACACTTCATTTGTGTGTCTTTATAAATTAACTACTTTAAATTTATGGCTGTTGGTCAGAAAATTGACTCGTAAGCTGTGATAGAAATTAGTTGCAACAGTTCTGCTCAAAGTTCTCATTCTTACTCACAGAGCATTACGCTGTCAGGCTTGCTCTGAAGTACTACTTCATCTGTATTCTTCAGCTCGCTCTCTACGATCAAATACGCTATGTTTGTTTTCTGTCCCTCGCGCTCGCCTTGAGACATGTGGTGATCAAGCTTTTGTGGCCGTAGCACCTACATTTTTGACTCTGTGGTTTCTTTTTAATGCCAGCTTAAGACACACCTGTTCAGACAGGTGTTTGGGTAACTTGTATGCACCAGAGGTGTGCTTTTTCAAATTTTGTGTATTGTTGTTGTGTAGTGTGAATTCTTCTTATTTTGTGTGTGCAAATAGTTTTGCTAGTTAAGCACGTTTAACTACGTGGCTCTGTGATTTCTTTCTTGTTGTGTATTGCCCTTGTGAAGCACGTTTTGACCTATGTCTGTGAAAAGCGCTTTATAAATACATTTTACTTACTTACTTACTAGAACTAGAGCTGAAATGATTAGTAATAATAAATCAATTAGTTGGTCGACAGATTAATCAGCAAGAATTCTGGCAACTGACTTCTCCTTGAAATAATTTTATTACCATATTACTATTATTAGCAAAAATACTAAAATATGCACCAGTTTCAGCCTTTAAAATGTTAGGATTTACTAATTTTCTCTACATCATGTCACTGTAAATGTTAAATGTTTGGGTTATTGACTGTTGCTCTGACGAAACAAGCTGTCTGAAAAATGACAAAAATCAAAAATGCCAACAACAAAAAAAAATCACGTTTTCCAGCATCTCAGAATGATCAAATACTGGTTGTATTTAAGTCTTTGTTAATAATACATGTAGTATCTCTGTTTTTGGACTGTTGGTTGGGAAATCAGAGAATTGGGGCCATGTTAATATTGTCTGAGACTAAAGATGAATTTATTAATCAATAGAAAAAAAGCATACTGTATATTGGATGGATATATTATATTACATGAAATGTTTGTAGTGGTCAAGACTTCACTATTTCAAATTTAAGACCATTTAATGACTTTTAGGGCCTTATTCTCGTTACATTGAATTTAAGAGATTTAAAGACTTTTTAAGGACCTGTAGACACTCTGATTTTTAATTTAATATTGCATAGAGGCACTACTACTGTTACAGGGTTGGGTGGTCTTCAGTGATAAAAATAGCTTCTCACACTGTAACTGCAGCTAGGCTATCACCAAAGCACACCATGCCTTTAAAAGCGTGTACTAAATGTTAAATGCACCTAAACCCTATTAAAGTGTTTATTAGAAGCACAAACCAGTGACCAACTCTAAACTCTAGGTGTAAATAACATGTACAGCTTCACTGTGGCTCACTGTGCTGTAACGTTTTGTGGTGAGAAAGCAGAATGACGGCCGGAGGATGGCGATGGGGAAGCTAAAGTTAGCATTAGCTAGTTATGAGTCAGATTAGCGGCTTTAGCTTCACCGGACACGACCGACCACTAACGGCGGCGAGTGTACCGACTAAAGCAGCCCGAGGTGGAGGTGACGGTACCTGTTCGGCTGACGGGCCGGACTGTTTCCCACCGGCGGTGTTGCTGGATTTGCTACCCGTGCTGCTACTGTTGGCTGCCATCTTGGAAGGGTGTTGCTGAGAAGGACCCCGGGCAGGATGTACAGGGCTGGTCCGTGCGAGCGCCTGTGTGGAAATACAGTCCAGTTTAGCCGGAGTAGGGAGCAGAGGGGGTGACACAGTGAAGGCCACGGGTCGGACTCGAACCTGTGACTTCAAGTTTTTTCCCATAAAATTTTGCAGTCAATATTGTGCCATTTTTTGTTTGTTTGTTTGTTTTTGAAAACTGTCGTTTTTAAACTGTAGATAAAGACTGTCAATTATTTATTTAATTAATAAATAATTACATAATTAATTTATAATTTTTATTTTTTATTTTTTCATTTTTCATTTAATAATTAATTTATTAAATTTAGTTAATTATTTATTAAATAACATGTAGGATGCATTTTCACTAGTATTTAGACATGTGCCTTTTAAATATTTTTACATGTATACATAATGTGTTTTGCCAATTTGGCAATATTTTATATCCATTAAAGTAAATTCTACAGAAAACATGTTATATAGACAAGTACATCCAAACAACTGACTCTTAATGAAAAATATTTGAGATAATCATCTGAACTGCGGAATAATTTGATTTATTTTATGTATTAATCATATTATTTTATATGAACCCCAGGTTCATTCTCATTCATTTGTTTTCCATAACCACTTATCCTCTTGGGGGCCCCGGGGAGGCTGGAGCCTATCCCAGCTGACATTGGGCGAGAGGCAGGGTTCACCCTGGACAGGTCACCAGACTATCACAGGGCTGACACATAGAGACAGACAACCAGTCACACTCACATTCACACCTACGGACAATTTAGAGTCACCAATTAACCTGCATGTCTTTGGACTGTGGGAGGAAACCAGAGCACCTGGAGAAAACCCACGCTGACAAGGAGAGAACATACAAACTCCACATAGAGGGGCTTCCCCACCCTGGGTTTGAACCAGGAACTCTCTTGCTGTCAGGCAACAATGGTAACCACGTATATTTCTTTCTTACTCTATATGCATATATTTTAATCAATAAAAAAGTCAGTCTCAACACTCTACACTAGATGTTCCCTAACCCTAGATGTCGACAGGAACAAATCCTCTCCAGCAGGTGGAGGTGGTGTGCCTTAATGCTGGTTGTAATCCTTAGATAAACAACAGAGAAGAAGAAAGTAGCTTTCCTATCCTTCCTGCTGCACACTAACCACAACTAAGCTACTAACATGGACTAGAAAAAAGGACAGTGACACTTTGTCTGGGTCACTTTGACCAATGTCCACGGTGAGGTGCATTTTGGGAACATTTGCAAAGTATTTGGCCTCTCTGCCAGCCTGGAGACATCAGATCAAGCTGCAAAACAGGTATGTCTATTCTTCTGACCTCTTGTCTTCTTAACAAAAGCTAATGATAAAGACTACACTTGTATTTTGTTATTTAAATGTTTTTTGGGAAGGAAAGTTAGAGAGATGGAGGATGGAAGTCAGAGCATGAATAGAGTTCATAGAGTTTATTTCAGATATTGCGTTCAGATGAGGTTCATAGATCACCACAGCTGTGCAATATAATACAATAAATATATAACAGACTAACTAGTGCAGTTATTGATCAACCCTGCTTGTCCTGACATCTTTGCCCTGCATGCAGCTTCTGCACACTGGACATAATACCAACCTCTTCTCCATGCAGGATGTCGACTTCACCTCACCCAGTGGCTGCAGTGTGTCAGCTGACAGTCACCCCGAACAAAGAGGCCAACTTCTCTGCCTGTAAACAGCTGGTGGATGAAGCCAAGGAGCGAGGGGCCAGCATGGTCTTCCTGCCCGAGAACTTCGACTACATCGGGTCCAGTCGAGAGGAGACATTGTCGCTGTCTGAGAGCCTGACAGGAGACACAATCTCACGATACAGTCAGCTGGCCAGGTAGACAAAAATGTTTTTTCCAGGTCCTAGGAAACATTGAAAGAGGTCCCACTTTTTGCTTTGTTCTAGGTGTTCTAGGTATTGTGCTCTGCTTCCCACGTTGGTAAAAAAAAAAAAAAGAAGTATGTTAAGTCCTGCACTACTGGAAGATATTCCTCAGTGGGCTGCTGGCTGAGAACAAGATGCTCATACAGACGAGTCTTGGCTCTATTCAAGCAAAACATGTTTGTACATGAGATGAAGAAAGACACAGAGCCAACACTGTTTTCCTTCCTGTTTCTTCAGCTTGTCTTGAGGCAAAATATACGCATAGCTTCATGACCATGAACAAACAAAAGAAAAGAGACCTTGTATGCTGTATTATCTGGAGCAAGGGGAACCAGCCTGGGTTCAGTACATTTATTGTTACATAGTGTGAATATTGGAATGGTAGACAAGGAAGTTCGGCTGGTAATACTCTGAATCCATCAGCAGGCAGCTACTGCAACCTTCGACTACAGTACTAGATGTGAATTAATGGTGCTTGTTTAGGATTAATACAGGTGTGTGTTTTAACCTCTCTTTCTCCCAGGCAGTTGGGAGTGTGGCTGTCTCTTGGAGGATTTCATGAACGGGGACATGACTGGGAGTCTGACAGACGAATCTACAACAGTCACATCATAATTAACGATAAAGGTAGAACAGTCTCTCTCACTCTTTTGTAGACACAGAAACACACGATCCCAACTAATTTAAAGGAAACACACAGTCCATGTTTTCCGCTTGATGATTCCTTTTGGTACATGTACTGACACACTGTCTTTTCATCTATAGGTGACATTGTTTCAGTCTACAGGAAGTCCCATTTGTTTGATGTGGAACTGCCAGAAAAAGGCATATCCCTTAAGGAAAGTGGCTTCACCATCCCTGGACCCTCCCTCATGTCTCCGGTCCAAACTCCCATCGGCAAGGTGTCAGTTTATGAGATTCTTCATTCTTTATTCGGATCCCCATTAGCTTCTACAAAGTGGTTGCTAGTCTTCCTGGGGTCCACTCACAAAACAACATTAAAAAGATATTAACAAATATATTATAAAAAAGGAGTATCTATTATTAATTGGTCTAATGCTGGTAGGGGGCACACTCCAAGCCGAGACCCCTCTATCAAGAACAGCTCTCATCATGAAATTTGTTCATGGACTTGGTGCTACAAGAAGACCAGTGCTCACTTGACGTGTCACATACCCATGACGAAAACCACTATATACTAGTTTAATACCAAATACTGAGGTGTATTTGTCAAGGTAATAGTATCACAAGATTTACTGTAAATGCACATAAGTTAAGGAATGAAACCTTAATGCAGTATCTCCGAAATAGGCCAGCAGTCATTTGAGATACTCCCAACAGTCCATGGGACAAATTTATCTTGACATGTACTGTATTTATCTGTCAGGTTTGGGCTGAGTATACTGGAGAGAAACACATATTTAAATCAGTGATTGTAAGCTTTAGCTTGTAGGCTTGAACTGTTTTCATTGTAAGATACAGTAGGAGATTTCTAAAAATTGGACAAACAAAAAGGCAATTTTTATTTAATATTATGGAATTTATTTGAGAAGGTGTTTCGGGCATACTTTGGATCCATTTTGAGCTTCCAAACTGTAGTTTAAAGGGATAGTTTGGATATTTTGTTAAGTTGCGTTGTATGAGATGCTTATCTGTAGTCAGTGTCGGCACGCCCCCAGTTTGGAGAAGCAGAAAGGAGTACAGACACTGAAGCTAAGCTAATGTACTGCTGTGGACGGGTCAGAAACACAACAGATTTTTTAAAACAGTCCCACTTAAAAAAATTTACATCAGTTGTACGCTATATTTAGAATATTTGCATGGCTTTACCTTGCCGTCAGACAGCAGGGAACTGAAGCCATTATATCGCTCTTGTTAAAGCCAGACTACATTGAGAAAAACAGTAATTTAACACAGTTGAATGCAGACACTGCTGGTTTACAGCTGCCTTCATCAGTTAGTTTTTTTTCTGTCATTGTGTGACTTTTGTGTTTTAAAGGACTAATTAATTCACCAAAGTCACACAATAACACAAACAAACTAACTGATCGAGGCAGCGGTAGACCAGCAGCTGCTGTGTTTGTTTAGCAAGCTAAAATTACTGTTTTCCTCAATGGAGTCTGGTGGCTTTGACAAGAGCTTAGATGGGGAACTTAAGCAGTTAACGGGGCTGTCTGATGGCAAGGTAAGGCCATGAAAATAATCTCAATATAGCATACACTCAAACAGTTCTTGCTTTTTTTGTTTATCTTAGGTAGCTAAAATAGATTTGCTAAAGCCCCCGTCCACAGCAGTACATTGCTTAGCTTCCACAGTGGTACTCCAGTCTGACTATGGATAAGTACCTCATACAACCCCACTTCAAAAGAGCCAAACTATCCCTTCAGCATTACGATCTGTTTGCTTCTGTCTTTGTTCTGACCACTTTTATATTGTTGCCACAGGTCGGCCAGGGCATCTGCTATGACCTGAGATTCCCTGAGTTATCTCTGGCTCTGCAAAGACATGGGGCCGAGATTCTGACATACCCATCAGCCTTCACTGTAGCAACCGGAGCTGCCCACTGGGAGGTGCGAAGAGTCATGATAAGACAGTTTATTGTTCGCTGGATTACTCAGGCCTAAACCCTGTCAAATATAAACTTCATGTATTTATTCCCAGGTGTTACTCCGTGCACGGGCAATTGAGAACCAGTGTTTTGTCATTGCGGCAGCGCAGGTCGGCCGGCACACCGAGAAGCGCTCTTCGTACGGCCACACCCTGGTGGTGGACCCCTGGGGTGAGGTGCTGGGGGACTGTGGAGGGGAGAAGCCGGGCATGGTGCTGGTGGAGATCGACCTGGAGAAGGTCAGCAGCACCAGAATGAACATGCCGGTCCAACAGCACCGCAGAGACACTGGTTTCTATAAGAGTCTGGAGAAGACTTGACCACAAGAGAAGTGCAAAGTTCAAAGTCAGGTTGTTTCGAGTTCTGTCACGCTGCATCATGAACACTGCAAGTGATTTGATTAATGACAGATCAAAAGAGAGACACTTCTCATCTTTTTTAATCAGAAATGTGATGATGGAAACATGCGAAAAGAAGCGTACATTGTTGTCAAATGATGCTGTTAATGAATAAATATCAGCGCCATGCAAACATGGAGTAGTGGTGGCAAAAGTGGAAGTCAGCCATCTCTTTTTTTCTGTTTTCTCTGCTTCTCTGGTTGAACCTCTGAGTCATCTTATCTTTGCAGTAGATAATCTCATTCCCGGGAAGTAAAGCTCACTCACAATCAAGAATAACAGCTCTCTGACCATGAGTCTGTACATGATGTTACTCATACTGGTCAGTAGATGGTGCTGTTGGGCAGTTGCTGGTAAATTACTGATGTAAATTTATCTGTTGTACGGAATGGACATGTACACATTAACCTGTAACATTTCTGTAATGAAATTAATCAGTTACTACTGAAAGATTATAAACTCAAACATCTGGAAAACATCTTCTTCATGTGGTTTGTTTTTCTTCTGTTTCCAGTAAAAATGCATTGTTAATTTTCTCCCTGTTGCTTGATGGTAACACATGACTGTATGGAATGCTTAATCTCTCCAGTGGGGCCCAGAAATTGGTCATGTCATTGCTCGACATATCCTGAAATAACAAAAAAAACTTCCATGCTTAAATTCAGATATGAAGAAACAGAATGAAAAGTATTAGGTAAAAAAATAAATGAAATGGACGGCACGGTGGTACAGTGGTTAGCACTGTTCCCTCACAGCAAGAAGGTTCCTGGTTTGAACTCCTTCATGGGTTTTCTCCAGGTGCTCTGGTTTCCTCCCACAGTCCAAAGACATGCAGGTTAATTGATGACTCTAAATTGTCCGTAGGTGTGAATGTGAGTGTGAATGGTTGTCTGTCTCTATGTGTCAGCCCTGTGATAGTCTGGTGACCTGTTCAGGGTGAACCCTGCCTCTCGCCCAGTGTCAGCTGGGATAGGCTTCAGCCCCCCCGCGACCCCTAACAGGATAAGCGGTTCTGGAAAATGAATGAATACTTTTGGCAATACCTCACAAAGTATCATCAAATAAGGTACAAGTACCTCAAAATTGCACCTAAGTACAGTACTTGAGTAAATATACGTAGTTACTTTCCAACTCTGCTTGTGATGAAGTATTTTTACAGTGTGTGGTGTCCATGTACTTTTAGTTTACTTGAGTATTTCAGTACTATAGTAATAGTTTTGTGCCACTTTGTACTTGTACTCTAGCCAGCAAATTCAAATTTGCTAGGGGCGGGGCATCTGGATTTCCAGGTTACTTGTACTCCAGAGAGGGAAATATTGTACTTCTAACTCCATGACATTTTTCTGACAACTACAGTTGTATTTTACGATTAATACTTTTGTTTGGAAGCTTAATGCATTCACTTCAGAAAAATGTTTTTTGCCCTGTTTATCTGTATGAATGAGATTATCTCAGAATTCTGAGAAAAGTTTTCATGGAAAAAAATCAATCAATCAATTTTATTTATAAAGCCCAATATCACAAATCACAATTTGCCTCACAGGGATTTACAGCATACAACATCTCTCTGTCCTTAGGACCCTCACAGCGGATAAAGAAAAACTCCCCCCAAAAAAAACCCTTTAAGGGGGGGTAAAAAAAACGGTAGAAACCTCAGGAAGAGCAACTGAGGAGGGATCCCTCTTCCAGGATGGACAGACGTACAATAGATATTGTACAGAACATATTATGTTTCTCTGAATGAACAGGATTGTCATCTCAGAATTCTGTCAAAAGTTTTTATGGAAAAAAAATCTGCTCTTTTTTTCTATATTAATGAGATTATTATTTCAGAATTCTGAGAGGAGTGTCCATAAAAAATCTGCTGTTTTTTTTTCTGAAGTAACATGATCATTATGTCAGAATTATAAGAAAGATTTTCATGAAAAAGAATCTGCTGGTTTTCTGAATTAAGGAGATAATAATCCCCTATTTTTGTTCTCTTAAAAAATTATCTCAGAATTCTGAAAAAGGATTTTATGGTAAAAAAAAAAATCTGCTATTTTTTCCTGAATTAATGAGATTATTATCTCACAATTATGAGAAAAGATTTAATTTTAAAAAATCTGATCTTGGGCGGCACAGTGGTGTGGTGGTTAGCACTCTCGCCTCACAGCAAGAGGGTTGCCAGTTTGATCCCGGGTGCGGGAGCCCTTCTGTGCGGAGTTTGCATGTTCTCCCCGTGTCAGCGTGGGTTCTCTCCGGGCACTCCGGCTTCCTCCCACAGTCCAAAGACATGCAGATTGGGGATTAGGTTAATTGGTGATTCTAAATTGTCCGTAGGTGTGAATGTGAGCGTGAATGGTTGTCTGTCTCTATGTGTCAGCCCTGCGATAGTCTGGCGACCTGTCCAGGGTGTACCCTGCCTCTCACCCGATGTCAGCTGGGATAGGCTCCAGCCCCCCCGCGACCCTCAAGAGGATGAAGCGGTTAGAAGATGAATGAATGAATGAATGAAAATCTGATCTTGTTTTTCTGAATTAATGAGATTTCATCTTAGAATAATGAGAAAAATTTGTTCTCACAACTTTTCCCGTCACAGCCGTCACTTTGACCAATAGAAACACAGAGCGATCTGCTGCCATAGACAACTGTATGACAACAACAGCCCAGGGTTTTAGATATTTCCTCTAGGGACGTTACCACAACACAGCAAAAAGGGAAAAATGATTGTGTGAAACAACAGAGACACTTTGTCAACCTATTGAGTATAGTGCCATTAGCATCAAGCTAGCAAACAATGTTACGTCCTCATAATGGAGATGGACATAAAGTAAGAAGATTAAAAAATAGTGGTGGGGCTTTTACTCATCACAACATCAGAGGCTACCAGCTTCATTTGAAACAGACTTTAACTTTTTACTTTTTATCCGCTCCCGTTGCCTTGATAAAGTTAATGCATGGCGCCATCATTTCAAACTCAACACTTCCTGAATTTGTTTCAAATTAAAAGCCCCTTATAACCATGGTTGAGAGAATCGCTTCATTTTCTAAACAAGATTTTATTGTGAAACATTTACAGGAACTTGTTGTGGAGGTTTCAGTGACTTGCATGTTTGCGTATGGTACTTCAAATGTAGCTCCTGCCACCTGCTGGCGCTTTTTAACGTTACTACAACAACATTTCGGCTGGCACATGAACACGCACAGTGACTGAAATAATAGTAAAAGTAATAAAAATAGGACAAGAATAACCCGATGACATCACACACGTCATGAAAGACGACCAGGGATAATTGGTGTGGACCAAGGAGTAGTCTGTCGGCCAGGTCTCAGCATGATTTTAAGACTCCACAATCGCCTAATCTGACATGGTGACTATCGGAACAGACAGAAATGTCGTGTAGTGTGAACCAGGCATAATTGTGTGCATCCCTACCTGACACCTCTTAGGGCCTGTTTTACGGTTCCGTATATTTCTGAAAACGTGTATTTATCTTTGCGTTTGCACCTGTCATTTACACGTAACCCGCATTTTTCTTGATGAAAACGGAAATTTTCAAAAACGGCTTCCAAAGTGAAAGTTTTTAAAGATATCCGTTTCTGTGGAAACGTGTAAACAGGATAGACGGTGATTTTGGAAAACAATGACGTTGCAACCCAGTTCGCACATGCCCATTAGGCGCCCGGTAACCACGACAATGGCGGATATTGTTAGCACTTTTGGGACTACTTACGAGCTTACAAATGAACTTAGCACTGCTGCATCAACATCACCGCTACATCGGTGCACAAAGACATCTGCTGTGCCCAATATTAGTAAGTGAACAACAGCTAACTACGCTACATAAGGTTAAAACGTTCTTCAGCTTTTTTATATTATCACAAGTGCCAAGAGGAAAACAAATCACTGTGCATGCGCAGAACGTTCTTCTATGGTGTTTGACACATGGCGTGTCGCCACCTACTGGCCTGGTATGCTAGTTGTAGCCAAAAGCTTCCGTTTTTGCATTTTCGTGTAAACAGGGATATCGTTTTCACAACTGATTGTGTAAACCCGGAATTTTTTTTCTATACGGGATGAATAAAAATCTGGTTTTATTTGTATCGGCATCGGTGTAAACAAGGCCTTAGCCTCCACAGCTGTATTAAAATGAGGTATGCATAGTCATCTCGTGGGCCGGATTGGACCCTTTGGCGGGCCTGTTCTAGCCCCCGGGCCATATGTTTGACACCCCTGACTTAAGTGAAATCTTAAAAGCAGGACTTTTGCTTGTAATAGAGTATTTCTACACTAGTTTTACTCAAGTAAAGGATCTGTATACATATCACAGCCCAATGTATAGAGCCACGCAGCAAGACTGGTTATCATTTCTAGTTGGTGACTCCATTATGTGTTTTCTTTAATGCCAGCCGTTTGATTTCCAGTGAGTGATGAATTATTAATCAGATGTTCTCCTTCCTGCCTGTGGTACCATCACAGAGACTGTGGGTGGGAGCCGCTGCTGCTGCTGCTGCTGTTGGGATGGGAAACAGGAAGTGAACGTCACTGACACAGGAATGGGACTGAAAAAAGAAAACACCATCATGATGAGGAGAATGTCAAATCCACTCGTGTAGGAAAACCCCAAAAATCCTCGTTTCAACTCCAGGTCAAAGGATGAATTTTCGTGTCCGAGCTGGAATCGAGGCATCAGGAAGGTACGTTGCGTTTTATTAACGTCTGTGTCGGTTAGCTTGGAGAATAAAGATGTGTGTGTGAGTGTGTGTGTGTGTGTGTGTTTCACCGTCCGAGGCCATCTATCCATCCTCCTCTCGCTGTCAGATGATGTGAACTCAGAGGTTGATTTCACATCCTTCTCACTGCCTGAACAGGTGCTAGCTTGGGTCCCAGCTAGCATAGAGGCTAGCTTGTTAGCTCGGTGTCGGTGCTGTGCAGTCAGTGTGAATGCACCGTCAGCTTGTGGATGCATTCTGTGGATAAATTGCCGCTTTGGTGGACTCAGGCCTTTGGCTGGATGCTATGGGAAACTGAGGCTGCACAACCCAACGACTGCATGAAAAAAACAGTCTCCATTTGATGTGTGTTAGTGTGGATATATTCACCATATAATGCAGATGTAACGTTAAAGCATGCACGGCTAACAGCTGAGCCTGTGCTGGAACAGACTGGGTTTTTATGGCCATGCTGGCTGTGTCATGCTTGGTTTTCAGCATTAGCAGTGAAAATCAAATCGGTCTTGTGCTTGTTAAGGCTGTTCTCTTTCCTACAGATTCAGGCATGTAAGGTTATCAGACTAAAATTTCCTCAGCACACCCTTTAGCTTAATGTATAGGGTATAACTTACTGTCAAAAGTTGGGCTTTTTAATGCTTACTGTATTTACTGTGGTAGTTTTAATATTGAGTTTTTCTTGTCTAAAAGAACCCTACACATAATTATTAATATTTCCCCAGGCTGATTTTTTAATGCCAGGTGAAAGTGGCACAAAATATCTTT